TAACTTATTGTTATTTTGTTGGAATACAAATAATTTTGGACTCTTTCCAACTGAAACATTTTGTTTTCTAAGGGTCAAAAATTCCTCAAATCATGCAGCTCAGTGAGCAATGGTGTGCTACTACTTTTTGTACAGCTGGCAGAATTTAAAAATAAAAAAAATTAAAAAAGAGAAGCTGAGATTATGAAGGCACAAGCAATTTATGAACAGCAGATTGAGTGAAGTCATTCTCCTGCAAGGCACTGAAACCATGGGGGAGGTGGGTGTTTTAATACTAAATTTTTATACAAAGCGACTTACATTTTAAGAATGAAAACATTTGGTTAGTTATTTTATTCCATGAGGTCATGGAGATGCACATATAGATTGATCCAGAGAAGTGAGATGAAGATGGAGGTGCAAGAACTGGGTGTGTGTGGTTTAGGGGAGCATAACGAGATCAGGGGGAAAAAAAAAAATCAAATGCACAGAGAAATGATTTCTGGAGTCTTTGCAAAAAATAAAAAAAACATACTTACTAGAGTTTACTTTCCCGAAAGTCCCCTCACACTCTCCATAAGTCAGTGCAAAATGGTGTTCAAGAACTTGCCGTCTGAATGAACACTTGGACCACGGCTGTGCAATATCTACTACTTGACTGAGCGCTGCCTGTGGAGGAAGGAACTGATGAACAGTAGACGAGTGCAGTGTCCATCTCTTCAACAGCTCAATACTCATATGGAGTAAATGACCCAGCTAACATTTCATAGCCTCTTTCAGATCCATTGTTAGTTAATAGCAGAACAGAGGCTTTGTCACAGGGCTCAAGGACAGCGAAGGAGTCTCCTGCGGATGTTCACTAACACACGAGTGTGCACTCCAACTCTCAGCAGTGCGCAGCAAAGCAAAAATCAATGAAACAAGTTTTCTGTAATTGAATGTGCGATTCTCCTCTGGCTGAAAAACTCCAGAGGAAATATGCCTGTAATCAATGTAAGTGCCGTTATACAAAACCATTTAGGTGTCAATTTGAGGCGCAAAGCCAGAAGGTTCAGCGCTGGCCAGAGGAAGAAGAGGTCAGAATCTGACCCTAGTAAGATTGGCAAGCTCCTCTGAGCCGGCTCACGGTCTTTAACTGGATTTTAAGAGCTTTGAGTGTCAGTTAAGGCAAAAGATGTACAGAAGGAATGATGTATTGGCTTTCGGAACGACTTTGCCAAGAGAAATATGCTCAAGACACCTCTTCTGCTGGTTTTGGAACAACATGATCGTCTGAAAAAAAGATTTTTTTTAACACTGATAATTTATTAGACCACCTGGAGTAGGCATTAGATGATGGTGAGAGCCATTTCTGTGTGGTTTCAGTCTTAAAGCAATTAAGGATTTGAATTTACAAGAAAAAAAAATCACTATGTGATAAAATATTATTTTTAGATTAAAAAAAATAAATATTACAGCTGCACAACACAAGCAGCTAGTTATGCTGCTACTAGTCGTGATGCTTCTAGTAGAGAGTCTATAGGTTGTGCCAAAACTAGGTTTGATGCAACTAGTCATGCTATTACTATTTATGGTGTTACTATTTGTGATGCAGCTAGTTTTATAGCTACTAGCCATAATGCAACAAGTCAAACCACTACTAGTTAGTATGCTACTACTTGTGATGCTAGCAGTTGTGCTGCAGCTAGTCATGCTACTACTAGTTGTGATGCTTCTAGTTTGGAGTCTATAGAATATGCCACAACTAGGTGTGATGCAACTAGTCATGCTATTACTCTTTATGGTGTTACTAGGTGTGATGGTACTAGTTTTGTTGCTACTAGTCAAGATGTAACAAGTTGCACCGCTTGTACTAGTTTTATAGCTACTAGCCATATTGCAAAAAGTCAAACCACTACTAGTTAGTATGCTACAACTTGTTATGCTAGCAGTTGTGCTGCAGCTAGTCATGCTGCTACTAGAGTCTACAGGTCGTGCCACTATTAGCTGTGATGCTACTCGTTGTGATGCAACTAATCGTGCCATTACTGTTCAGAGTGTTTAAGGTGTGATGCTACTAGTTGTGCTGCTATTAGCCATGCAGGATTGCTGCTAATTACACCATTACTAGTTATGGTGTTACTAGTAGTGACACTGCTAGTCATGATTCAATAAGTCATACATATACTAGTCATGCCATCGCTTGATATGATTTTACTAGGTGCGATAGTCATGTCACTACTAGCTGTGCCATTACTATTTAGGATATCAAGGGTTGTGCTGCTAGTTGGGATGCTACTAGCTATGCAGCTACTAGTCCCGCTGTTACTAGGTATGCTGCTGATAGTTGTGATGTTACTAGTTATGCAGCTACTAGTCCTGCTGCTACAAGCCATAACACTACTTGGTATACTGGAACTAGTTGTGATGCTGCTGGTTGTAAACATTTATAACTATGTCACATTGATGTCACAAAGAACATTATCTGAGGTTATCTAGTCACACACCGATCCTTTACTTCTGATTCCATGATCTGCAGCAGTTTATAAACAAAGGGATTTAATGAGATGCAAAATGTTTTGATGTAAAAGGAGCAAAAACAGACCTTTTACTGAAGGCTGTGCGCATGAGTACAGATGAGAATGAAAGGTCAGATGAGGAACGATAGGAGATTAGGAACCATCAGGTTTCCACAGGTCTGCTTGGGTTTCTTCTGCTGTAGGACTGTTTCAATGTGGATTGTTCCAAACATGAAGGAAACCAATGTTCAGGCAAATCTAAACATTAGGATTCATGGAAAACACCTCACCAGAAACAAACGTGCCTCTGTAAAAATAGAGCTGTGATGTTTGGAGCCACCAGAGGGAGCAAGAAAGCCACAGAACATACAGTCGCATCTATACATCAAAAAAATGTACACAGTAAGGCTTTCAATAAGAAAGTTTGTCTACATAAATGTCTGCAAGTTTACAAAGTGAGACGCTTTTAAAAGGGGTTTCTGTCACTTTTATGTATTCTGCACAAACAACTTCTGCCCAATCAATCAGAATCATGAAAGGGAGGCCAAAAAAATAAATAAATAAATGAAAATGAGAGCAGGGCTGCTTCAGTGGAGTACCAGAACTTAAACCAGCCTAAACCAAGATGTTTTTTATTACTATTTTCAGTTGTTTACTTCAGTTTTTATAATTTATATATAGTTACACTGCTAAAATAACTAGAATAGCTTTTAGGAATTAGGATGTTCACTACTGTGTTATTGTTTGCCTTTTTAGAAAAAGGCTGATGCCGTGAAAATGATAACATTTTTGGCAAAGGCAACTTTTTAAAATCATATATGCTCAACATATCTGAAATGTGGCCCTGCAAAAAAACTTGATGTGCTGAGATGAGAACCCGTGTTTTTTAGGTGATTTTGTTTTTGGAGGTTCGGGAGGTATAACCAGAGATTACCACACATGTTACTAATCAGACCAATCAGATTAAGCCACACCATTATATAAACATCTGACCACACCCTTGTTACCTTTTTCGAACCTTCTTTGCTACTCAACTCCGCCAAACTGTACATTGAGTTTGGTTAAAAGTGTCTGCTGGTGGTGAACTTCTGGTGAAATCCTGTAGAAATGTAGGATCAGGTATTGTCCTGCCACATAAACATTCTAGGCTCTGTGAAACAACCTAACCTCGAACCAAACTAATAGAAAAGTGCCTTAGCTGATGATAACTTGTGGTTGATATTCTTTTTTTAATGTTATAACTAACAAAAGGCTATCCCAAACTTTGGAGATCCACTCTTTTATCCAGCCAGGGCCTATTCTGATCAAGAGGGAAGAGTGTGAGCATTTTGACAAATCCTGTCCTGTAAATGGTAAATGAAGAGCTGCAGGTCTATCTTAAAAAAAATAAAAAAAGACTATTGGGTCTTTGTTGGCACCTGGCACAAATGCACCCAAACCCAATTCAGCTTCTCTCTTCAAAGATAATTTAATACAGGGAAAGGAAGGTTCTAATGGAACTGGATGGAGAGCATGAGCTTGAGGATCACGTCTTTGAGAAAAAAAAGTGCTCGGGAATGTGCCCACCAAACCTCAGACTCGTCTGTGGGTTGTTTACATCCAACATAACCTTAGATTTATTAAACCTCTGCTGAGATCATAATACAACCAGAAATATGCTAAATGTTCCATTACATATTCTAATCGACTGTTGAAAGCTAATCACTCAAGGACTACTTGAGAATGTACTTGAACGAACATAATAAAAAAAGACTTTGAACCCTTATACGAGTGCCATTAACCTCTCAATTTGATTACAAATGGACAGACAAAACTCAAGTGTAAATGGGGTTCCAAACATTTTACAATTTCATCAATAAATCACTGTTAGATTGAGCCGAACGCAATAATGAAAGAACGTTCACCCTACCATTATCAAGAGGTGCATTGGCCAAGAGAATAGTCCTTTTTTTATTTTCAAAAGCATGCCACCCAGGGACATCAGTAAGGGGGAAGATTAGTTATTATAGAAATGACATTTTACAACGATAGAGAACTTCAAAAATATGGCTATGTGAAACCCATTTGGTAAAAAAAATAAAAATAATAATAATTTTTGCAGGTACAGTCCTGGATAAGCATGCAGGGGACTTGGGGAGAATAGCACCAAAACCAGGAGATGCAGATAAGACTGCAAAGATGAGGAGATCAAGGAGACTCAGAGAAGGTGAGGAATTAAACAGGAGCAGGTTTCAGAGACGCAGTGTTGTAAATTGTAGACCGAACAGTGAAATGGAGCTTATTTGCAGACTCCAACAAGCACCGGGGAAAGACCTTACTTACTGCTGGTCAGTAATCTCCTGCTATTAAGACAAAGGTTGTGTGAAAGAGATCCCCATACCCTAGACTCGACTAGGAAGCCAACAAAGGATATGGTCAAATGGCTTTTATGTCAACAACAAAAACATTATATTAACTGCTGGACTATACTCCCATGGCACCCCAGAAACCCTGTAGAGAATTAACACATTCTGTTCATTTTTATTTTCCCTGGGGTTTGAACTCATAACCTTTGTGTTGCTAAAGCAATGCTCTTCTGATTGAGCCACAGGAAAGCCATCAAGAAGAAATAAACTTATCTGGCAATACTCCTCTCTCCATATGAAGGATCAGGTTGAAGATCAGGTCTTCGATGGCCCCATCAAAGGGAATGGAAATCTAGTAAGTTGTAACTCTTCCATATCAGCACTGTCCCTGCCTTCTTTAATAATGGGGACCAGGAGTCACAATCTATGTAGGCCTTAAGGGGTTCATGTTGCTCAAAACAATCCTGTCCCCACAAAAAAAAGAAAAGAAAAGAAAAATCTTCATTTGGAATGGATTTGAGGGATCAGGTGAGGCTGATTCCTCGATAGCCCTATCAAAAGAAATGGAAAACTAGTCAACTGTTTTGAAAACCCTTCCAATCTAAACACATCAGCTGCAGTGTCCCTACCTTCTTCAACAATTGGGAGAAGTAGTTACAATCTATTAAGCTTTTAACGGGAAAGGGAAGGCGATTTCTGGGAGCCAATATTCACATTGACCCAAACAATCCTTTCCCATCACCATATTCCTGACCTGGAATAGATTTGAAGGATTGGACAGAAATTGAGGGTCCATTCCTGGATAGCCCCATCATAAGAAATGGAAATGTAGTCAATCTGTTTTGAAAACTCGTCCAATCTAAACTCCCCAGCATTCTGCCCACCTTCTTCAACAATGGGGTCAAGGCTTCACAATCTATTTAGATTTTGAGGGGAAGGAGTAGGTGATTTCTGGAAGCCAATGTTTATATTCTTAACAATCAAAAACAATCCCGTCCCTACACCACAATTTCAACCTGGAATAGATTTGAAGGAATGGGTTAGCTCCTGGATAGCCCCATCATGGGGAATGGAAATCTAGTTCCAGTTTAAAGTTTCATTGTCCCCTTCTTCTTCAAAAATTGGGAGAAGTAGCCCTAATCTATTTACCTTTTAAAAAGAAAGGGTAGGCGTTTTCTGGGAGCCAATGTTTACGTTTACGTCATCCCTACACCAATGCTCGACCTGGGATTGAACTGAAGGATTAGGCAGCAGTTTAGGGCCAACTCCTGGAAACCCTCATTATAGGGAATGGAAATCTTGTGAAGTTATCAAAAAAAATTATTCCTTCCTGTCTCCACCTTCTCTCACAATGATGACAAAGAGTAGCAAGCTTTTATCTTTGAAAAGAGTTCTTAAAATAGAGGCACAGTGGCGCAAAAGTGCACCAGCAGACCCCCGTGACCCAAATGGAACAAGAAATCAATGAAAAGTTAGTTCATTTCTGGGGGCCAATGTTTATTCTCATGATGACTAAAACGGTCGCAATGTAAAATCACTGCAAATGAAGACAAATGTGTGAAAACTGAAGACTCCTTGCTGCTGTTTAGTTTGTCCCCTTGATGTTGTTTCTAAAGCATTATGGAAACGTCACCCACCCTGTCTAGAGATGCAAATAGATATTGACCAAAGTTGCTCCAGCTGTCAGTAATGGTGCACTGTGGGAACCCAAAATGCCATCTCTACGTATATAGTCTTCAGTAATCTACTGTAGACCCCCCATCTGCCTTCCCATGATGTGTTTCATCACTCGCAGTCAGGCCCCTTGTCACGATTAATGACTGCGACACCTCCTGGGTTAACAGGAATTAATAGGCAGACAGAAATTTTCATTTCCATTTGAAAGCCCACACAAGGATTTATGTCGCTCGTTACTGTAAAGAAACTAGAAGAGAGGCAAGAAAGGGATTCAGGGAGAAAGGGTTTGGAATGAAAAAGCAAGAGGTAGATTTATAAGCGATCAGGAGTGAGCTTTGCCTTTCTGGACCAATCACAAGGCCTGTTAAGATCTGATCAGGTGAAGACAGCATTATGTGAACTTGATGACACTTCCTTGACCTCGAGCCCTCATTAAAACGCCCGCTTTGTGGCTAATGATTGACGTGCTTTGGACACTGTTCTGGAGAGTGAGAGAGAACTGGATGTGATTTAATGGAATGTTATTTTTCTTCGTTGCTGTGGTATATAATGCTGATCAATAAAAGGGGTTCTCAGATCAATCTTATTCAGCTTAATTTCCAGAAGCACAGGCTTTCATCATTATGGTCACATATACACAAATATACAGCGGGTTCCTTAAATGGAAGAGATTTGGGGCGACCAGAACCTTTTGGGGAGAAGTGGACTGGTGAGAGAGGTACAGAAGAACCCTAAAATCACTGTGTCTGAGCTCCAGACAGGCAGTGGCGAGACAGGAGATGTAGAAAGTCAACCTTCTACCAGTTTGGGTTTTATGATTGAATGACCTCGGTGAAGACACACAAAAGACCAAGATTCTCTGGTCTGATGAGACCAAGATAGAACATTTGTCCTTATTTCTAAGCGGTATGCTTGTAGAAAGCCACATAGTGCTCATCACCGAGCTAATACCGTCCCAACAGTGAAGCATAATGGTGGTTGCATCATGCTTTGCAGGAAAATGGGAAAGATGAATGTGGCCAAATAAAGGTATATCCTGTATAAAACCTTCTCCAGAGTGCTGCCCAGGACCTCAGATTTGGCCAAATGTTTACCTTTCAACAAGATAATGACCCTAAGCCCACATGTGCCCAACAACAACTCTCTGATTGTTCTTGAATAGTCCACTCAGAGCCCTGACATAAACCTGTTTGAGCATCTCTGGGGAGACCTAAAAATGGTTGTCCAATAACACTGCACAAATCCAGTGTGAAAAAAAATGGTCTGGCTGACTAGAAATGTGCAATAACGAGCAGTTGTACCTAATAAAGTGGCCAGTGAGTCTATCTAGTATATTCAATACAAAGCCTAGTGCTTCCAACTCAGAGAGGCGAGAGGCTGTAAATGTCTCATCATTCCGTTCTCCTTCACTGTACCCGGCTGGTGGAATTCTACTTAAATTACCTAGAACCTCTTCTATAAGCACCAACAGAAAAAGACGAACAAATGCATTTTCTTATTTCACACACACACACAAAAAAAAATCCCAAGATGAGGACAGATTTATTTTTCAAGACTTAAGAGTTGGGCATGGCGTGCAGTGCTAGTTCAGCAAAAAATGTAATGGAAAATTAAATTAATAGGGTATTTACTTGTAATTGACGTATCTAACATGTGGCTCCCCTCCAAAACTTATTCCGAAAAATGAGAAAACTGATCACGGTGACACTGAAGCAGCCACAGTGTATCTGCTGGTATTTCTCTTCATTTCATTTTACGTCTCTACAGTTTTTTTTTTTTTACCAACTGCAGGAAAGTGACATTACTCACGACCGACAAGCTTTCCGCAATTGTTTTCATCATTATTTAATATGTTTGAAAACCACGGGATCAGATAAATTACATTGTTTCATGTAGCTTTCTTGCAACAATTATGGGACGAAAATGATTGTCAAAGGTTTAATGCTCCATTTCCATGTTGGTTTCACTCAGTGAGGAAGAAAACGTTCAACGCTTGACTGGTCAATTGCCTGTTTGGGTGAATTATCTCCAGGGCCAACAACCCTGAATGAAAAGGTCTCTTGTGCTCAGTGAAAAGGAAGCTCGTAATTTGCCACATGAGGAGATTAAATAGTACAGAGCCATTATGGAAAACAATAGATTTACTAGAACCCTCAAACAATCTCCAAATTTTGCAATATCAAATCATGTGCTTTTAAAACTGACAGGGCATTTAGGAAGCTGGTGATAACGCTCACCATTGATCACTGTATTTAGACCTAGAAACATAAAAATTCTTGTTTTATGGCAAATAGGTGCAAATAATCATCATTGATGCAACCAAGTCATGAACTGAAATAAAAACAGCTGTGTAGGAGGATTAAAACTAGGTTTGGAACACCCAAATTCTGCAACCAAGCTGATATTGATAGGTCATTGTAGGTTTGAGAACGGCAACAAGACACAAGGTAGTTACACTGCCTCAACAAGGCCTCTCCCAGACTTTTAAAACAGAAGCACAATGAAAGGGTCAAACTTGAGAATCGTAGATGCTGTGGTCAAACAAGAAAACTTCACCGATACAATAATCAGTGTCTGCAGGCAGCAGTGAAGCATGGTGGAGGTTCCTTGAATGTTTGGCATTGGCTTTCTTCAAATGAACTTGGAGATTTGGTCAGTATTACTTGTATTCTCTGTGCTACAGGCAAATTCTAATCTAATCACTGCATGATTGGCCCCAAACAAGTTCTGCAGCAAGACAATGATCCCAAACAGTCATTAAGAACTTTTAAAGAAAAAAACAAATTTTTGAAAGCATTCTTTTTTTTCTCAGTACGTTACATTTCCCAGCATCGACTTTGTTATGGATCTCACTCCCAAGGTAGAGGTGAGATAGAAATGGAACACAAATGCAGGATACAGCACCAGGATAAAACAGCCTCAAATAACTAAAACTTAAGGCAAAGTAGAAACAAAAATGTTTAACTCTGAACCCAAAACAGGCTTGAACAGAGAAATTAAACAATAACAAATACCTTCAGCCATAAGAATCATCAGCTTCTCAAACGTGAACATAAGTCATAGTCAGTTAATGAACCAGCTACGAGAAGACAGCTACTGGAAAATATAATGGGAAAGAAATCAACAGACTGAACGGGATACAGGTGTGCAAGCAATTAGGAGAGCAACAGGACGGGAGGGGCAAGAGCAGAGAGACATGAAAAAAAAGTAAAAAATTAGTGCAAATGTGAAACCCATGACCTTTTTATGAAGCCGTGTTTTGTTCATAGAAATAAATGCTGCATTTGTATTTAAGTCATACTTGTTTATTTACAAAGTAAATATAAATATATTATAGTGAAAAATCTCATTCACGCCCATAGCCATCCTGCCTCCAATAGTTAAATCTCTAGATTATACCTTCAAGAACACTCTGAGGCAGATCAATTAGTTATTAAGCCTCATAGTTATGCGTAATTTAAGGGCGTGGTTTCTTGGCAGGCAGATGAAGTCATTCAGTCCAGCAAACTTCATCTGAAGAACTCGGCTACTCCTTGTGTTATTTTGTTTTTAGATTTTACTGTTGGTTGTTT